CTTGCGGGGCCTGACGAGCATCACATATGCGACGTCCCGCGGCGCGCTGCCGACGATGCCCATGCCCGTGTCCCAGATCGACGCCGCCTTCTCATCGCGCCGCGCATGATCATGCACAGGCTGTCCCGGCTCCACGAACGGCGACTCGTCTGCGCGCGATGCCCCGTGCCGAGGATCACCAGGAGGCCACAGATGCCGTCGCGTTGAGCGGGCAGACCGGAAGACGGACGCGCGGCGTGCGTAGCGGTCGTTTGTTGTCTGGTGTCCTGCACGGGCGCAGCGGGCGAGTCGTAGAGCGGGCGGGCAGGACCAGGAGGGGGAGGCCGTCTAGTGGTGGACTGCATGCAGTGAGCGCGCTGGGGATGGTGTCTCAACGTGACGACGTCAGCGGGGGCGCGGGTGCCTCGAAGGGCTTATGCTACAAGCAGGACAGTGTGAGGGTCAGAGCTTGTGCGCAAGCGCGCGGTGTGCGGTGACGCTTGAGCAGGCGGAGAAATCGCGGGGACACCCGCAGGCAGAGCGTGAGGAACGTTCGACCGGTCGCACGACCACGCACGCACAGCCACGACATGAGCGCGCACGATCGCCATTGTATGGGGATGAAGCAAGGATTTACGTGAGGGACGCACGACGACAAGGCTAAAGGCTACAGGAGGGGCACGTGCGCGGACACGCTGTGCAGGAACGGAGGACGCGGACACATAGGGCGTCATAAGACGATGATCCGGGGACGCGACACGCGTGAAGGGCTGCAGGAACGCGTCGCATGACGCGGGGAGCGTGCGCAATGGCGTGAGCGGCGGTGTCACTCACCCGTCACCTGCGCCGTATATGTACGTGCGACGTGGGCACGGGCGCGCGGGCGTGCCTCTGCCTCGCTTTCTACTCTGCTTTGCTTTTCTGTGCGACCCTGCTTTCCTCTCACATACTGGACGACGACCATCCGACGACCTTGGCTATTAGGGGCTTTTCATGGCATGGCGGGGCGCAGTGGCTGGACGCGGCTACAGAACCCGCGAGACGAGAACAGACCGCCGCCGTACGACGGACCGAGCGCGAGCACGAGCACAAGCGCGACACCACAGGCGAGACGAGGCAGCAACGCATCACAGACCAGACGAGAAGACGAATCGGTGTTAGATTACGTCGCATCACTGCGCGCAGGCGGTGAGTAGCGGCACATCCATTTCGGGGGGCAGAGCCGCATAGCCGGGGATGCCAGAACACCTGGGAGTCCCCTGAGAGTCCCGATCCCGCGCAGAACCCTTTTCGGGGGTCATGGTCGATTTCGGGGGAATTCCACATAACCTCGCCTCGTTCCGGTCCATTTCGGGGATATATGGGATCTTACATTGAAAGGTTCGCTCAAAGTTGCTAAATTCGCATTTGGGGGCGTCCGGCATGTAACCTGACCACTGTTCGGGCTCCATTTCGGGGATTGACATGTAACACTTTCGCTCCTTTTCGGGGGGTTCGGGCTCGGAGCTCTGGCGGGACTCTCAGGGGTCCTGCAAGGCCGGGCTATCGCGATAAGGTTGGGTGCTCTCAGCCACCGACGACGGCAAAAAGCAGGCAGAGGCCTGGGCACGATGACTCGGGCGACGCTGTGCTTCTGCTTCTACGTCTGCTTCTGCTTCCCCTCCGGCGCCTTGTGTGGTCCGTTCAGGCACGTCAAGCTGTCAGACCAGCGCCCTGGGCTTATCACGGCCGCGGCGAATGCACCCACTGCCGCCTTTGGTCTTATATCGCCTGCTTCTTCCCTCGTAACTTCGCCCACTGCTAATCCCCCTTACTCTCTCTTACTCCGAGTCTCTTTCTTGACTCCCGCTCATCTGCTATGGCCGCAGACAACGACAGCATCAAGTCGGGCACTTCCTCCCAGCGTTCCGTCTCCCGCGGACGCGACTTTGTGCGTAGCCCCTGTCGTACCTAGCGCGCTCTTCTCCTCTGACAGACGTCCGTCGCCCATCACAGCAATCGTCCGGGCGCGGTGGCGTTGGCAACATTCGCAGGACTTCCATCGACCCCAACTGTCCCAAAACACCCAACTTCAATCCCGAGGATGATGTGACTATGAACCGTGGTCGGGAGCCGGCGCAGGCTGGGGACAAGGACAGGGTGAGTGTTTTTGCTCTGCAGTGTTCTTTTTTCCCCTTCGACTTTGTCCCCCCTTCGCGGCCATCATTTTTCGAGCTTATCGCACGCGACCGTGTCTTCGCCGATATTCCCTTTTTCGTCATTCTCTTTCGCGTTCAGATACCGGACCGTCTACCAACACGCGGTCTTGCGTGTGAGCCCAGTCGTTCTTCTCTCGTCTTGACGACGACGCACCGCCATGGCCGAGGTGCGCCCGACGTGTGCACTGCCTCGTGAAGCAGCGATCGCGCGCATACAGCCACGGATGTCGGGCAGAATCACGTCCCGCTGCGCGAAGGCCATCAGACACCGCATGCCCTGCTGAAGACGTAAAGTGCGTTGTGCGTCAGTCCTTATCAGGGCTGTTCGTGCTTTGCAACAGCGTTTTCGCGCATACAGTCTCGGACGTCGAGCAGGCCTATACAAGCGACTGATCTGCTCGTGAGCGCGGGAACTACGCGCGCCACTATCAGGGCGGGAGGGATCGCATGTGATTGCCTGACTCCCATCAGCTAGCGTCTGATGTGGTGCGGCCTGCCATTCAAGGCAGTACGATGTCCCGCGGGCACTTCTGGCGCAAAGCCCGTCTCATAGTCTGGTGGTTATTCTCTTGTCGCGGTGCTCGCGTGCTGGTATCGCGTTCGTGCGGCCTCCTCAGAGGGTTATATTAAGAGGTATCAAGCGCATATATGCGCTCGTCGCTCGGTGCTTTTCTGTTCGCGACGACTTACTGGGCCCGTAATCGGGCGCTCACG